GCTATTTGAATCTAAACCAGTGTGTAACAGAACCTTGTGTATGACTGAGGTACTTTATAGTTTTAGAGCAATCTCAGCTATTCAATGCAAATTAGCTCTTGGATTCTAGTAATTCACACTTTTAAAGTAATTAGCATCATGAGTATTTTGTTGTAAGATGGCTTTTTGCGGCATTTCTGCTACCTTTTTAGTTTTTTCAAGAGTTGTCCTGGTAGCTATGCCATGCTTTCTAAGGCTGAAGGATTTTCATGTATTGCTTTCATGATGTTCTTGAACATACTCATGTTGTAGAACCAGCAGAGTCCTGACGTTTCAGAAATGCTTTAATTGATGTGTAGTGGGTCTTTGTAATCTACTAGTGCTTTTGCATAATACAATTCAGATCTCAAAATGAGTTCTTAATCTTTTTAGGCTACAACTGTAACACCTGTAAGCTAAGAAAGATCTCCCACTTAATGAAATTCATCCTTGCTCATTAAGCTGTGTTAAAGCAACTTGACTGCATTACTGACATACTGACATTTTGACCTGTGCCACTTGTGTGCTTTCTGTTTGAAAGGCTTATGAAAATTGTTAAAAAGACTGTAAAAATATAGTGGGTTGTGAGGTATGGGTTTGGTTTGGGGGTAGTGGTGGGCTTGGTTTGATTTGCTTTTCAATATATATTACATATATGCTTCAACAATATATAATGAGAATAAGCATAAAGTTATTCTCAACGATGATGTATTTCATCTTACATCTTACTGCATGGGAATTTTATGTATGCTTGCAAGGTATTTTGCTGCCCTCTCTTGGTAGAGCTTTTGTATCGTAAGTGAAGTGCTCATCTTGTACATAGCTTTTACTTGTACGTTTTAAAAAGTTCTGCTTTCCTTCCTTTATTTCCTGCAGAAATTGAAGGTGAGGGTTCTTTCACAAAAATATAATATTAAATACTAAGGAGTCACTCAATATTTAATAATGAGAACTTCTTATTCAGGTCCTGTGTAGATGACAGTGATTATCTCACTGCCTTTTATCTATGTCTTAGTAAACAGCCAGTGCAGTTTGATAGAATCGATTGCTGACTGACATATTTTGCTTCAGATCAAGTTTAAATCATATAACCACTTAGATACATTTCCCTATGATATGTGGTTTAAATCATATAACCACTTAGATACATTTCTCTATGATATGTGGGCACTGTGTTCTTCATAGCTCTCTGAAGAGGAGAAAACACCCAGGTAAGCTTCAGGAACATACTAAAACATAATGGGATAACTAGTCAGTCCAAAGCTGCTTGATTTAGGCATGCATCTTATGCAGTTACAGCATTTTATGTTGTAAAATGCATGCAATTACAGCATAAGATGCATGCCTAATCAAAATTACATGTAATTACATGCCCTATGGAGACTCACATCCACACCTCTCCTACATACAGTACATACATACACACACATGTGCATGTATCCTTCTCAATAGTTAGAAAAGCTTTAAGTGAAACCCTTCTGGGCTAGGGCAAACACCTGGAATACTTCCCTGTGGTATTTTTCCATCCCGAGGCCATTTTTGCTTCAACTACTTCTTGTGCATGATGCAGTTTCCATTTCCTAAATGACCTCCTGTGGCTTGTTATTTCTTGGGTGTTTTTTGGGGTTTTTGTTTTGTTTTCCTTCCCCCTGTAGGCTTTTTTCCTGCTTTTGAATTGCTTTTGCAAGGAGTTCCATAGTTCATCTGCCTGATGTGCAGAGATGCTTTCTTCTTTTCAGCTTTGCTCTTATTAGATGCATCAAATCTTCCCTCCCAGCTGTTGTATTACAATGCCCTCATCACTCAGGATTTTGTAGACATCCAGTTGTCTTATGCAGAATCCAGAATTCCAGGTTCTTTAGTTATTTTTAAATGGAAACTGTTTGGTACATTTGATCACAGTGTTGCTGCTCTTTGAACCTTTTCAGTTCTGCCTTCTTCCCCTTCTGAGGCGGAAATAGAGATGTGGAGTTCATGAAGCAGAATGATGGTATCTTCTATACTGTTCTGTAATCCTTTCCTAATGTGTAGCATCTGCTCTATGTTTTTGAACAGAAGATGTCAATGAATGGATATGGTCATAGAACTGTCTGTCATAACACTAATATCTCACTCCTGGTCAGCAGTCGACTGGAAGTCCAACATTTTATATATAAATTTAGCAGATTCTCCCTCTCTCCCCTGCATCATTTATATCTCAATCGAGTTTTATTTGCCAATTTTATTGCTCAGTCACTTGGAATTGGAAGATACATGAGTAATTCTTCATAATCAGTCCATCATCCTTGCTATCCTAAATAACCTAATATTAAGGAGCACAGTCAAGAGCATCTTGCTGTTTCTTTTCCAGGTTGTTAGGAAAATAGGAGATAGCACAGCTCTTGGTTTGGCTTATTGCAGAACTGCCTTGGTGACGCTCCTCTTATGTGAGAAGTGACCTATATCGAGTTTCTATTTCTGTAAAGAGATGAAGAACTTAAGAAAAAGAAAATTTAAATACCTGGCATCTGCTCGATGTGTTGTTAAACCTTGTGAATAGATACCTTCTAGTTTTATAAACTAAATATGACATGGAATGTCTATGACCTTAAATGCCTTATCTACATTTATTTTTAGGGTTAACAGTGTGTACATTTCTAGGTAGAATATACTAATTTCTGGCAAATAAATGAAAATGAGTGAACAAAATAAAGCTGCTTTGGAGTCTGTAAATGTTGACTCCAGCTCTGAATAACCGGTTAGCTACAAACATACATGCATCCACGTCTCCTTTACAAATAAAGAGCCAAAGATGACCAAGCTGAAGTTAGCCATGATGCTTTCCTCTAATAATAGATTTTATCCAAGGGAAAAATAGCACGTAGTAAAACTATTCTTGTACAATACAGAGCAAGCAAATATGTAATGCCAAAAATACTTCTAATACATCTTTTGGAGCTTAAATTTCTGTGGTTTATGTTGCATTGTGTTGATATTCCGTAGAAATCCTCTACTGGTTCCAAATTTTTGTCAGTCAATTACCAGGCTTCTTAACGGACTTCTGAAGCTAAAAGCAAGAATTTAACAAGGTGAAAAAGTCAACCCTAATTTCTTAGTGACTGATGTTACAACTTTGTTATATGGGAGAGCAGAAGCTGAGGAAAGAACCGATACAGGAGCAGAGCTATTTTGCTGCTTCTGAAGATGTTGGGTGACAAATTCAGTAAGGAAAAGTACTTTTGCTGTATGTAACTGGAACTTAATTTCTTATAGTAATTATGAAATTCCAATATTGTTTATGAAGGAAAAACTTTAGTCTGAAAGAGGATGGACATCAGTAGTTAACAGTGCATGGGCTGGGGTTTCCAGTTCTGCCGGTATTTTCTGGGCATGAATAGAAGTGAAATAGCTGCAGTCCCCTGCATTTTCAGACTTCAGTTTTATATGGCTCTAAGCAAGTAGTATAGAATTACCAATGACCTTTCCAAATAAGATTGCCCAGCGGCAGGCTATACAAAACACATACCTCGTAGTTCACGGTGTCAAAATTTAGGTCTCCTTTTTGCTTTATAGTTAAAAGCTGGCTGTAGTTTGTATCTGTTGAGAAGCTATCTTCAGTTCTCCTCTTAAAGAATGCAGCCATTTTTTTTCTTGCCGTGCTTAATGTACGAGCTTTTGATTTTAAACTTAATGGGTTTTTTTGGAAAAGAACAACTCAGAGGATAAAAACTAACAGCATTTTCAGTGATATTTACTGACAGGAACATACTGGCCACAGCTGTGAGGAGGATGTGCCTATTTTTTGTTTTGTGATAGTAAGCTCTCCCAAGAGATGAAAAAGCTTTGAAAATCAAAAAGCTATTATTTTAGCTTACTAGATACATTTGTCTCTTTTAAATTTAATTTACACCCTCCAAACAACCTGAACAAAATATAAAACAAGTAAGGAAAAGAGGCAGGAGGGTTGTTTACAGCTTTTCCCACTGTATTTTCATAGCATCTTGGTTTGAGTTGGAAGGGACCTTAAAGCTCATCCAGTTCCAACCCCCTGCCATGGGCAGGGATACCTTCCACTAGAGCAGGTTGCTCCAAGCCCCTGTGGCCAACCTGGCCTTTGAACACTGCCAGGGATGGGGCAGCCACAGCTTCTCTGGGCAGCCTGTTCCAAAGGGAAGGTTTTGCAGGAAAGTCCTTTCTTTCAAAGCCAAACTAGTGGCTTTGGCAGCAAATTTTGCACAATTCCTTCTTACCTATAGGAAGTTCTTTGTTTCCTATGCCTGGCTTTTACTCGTTTTCCTCCTCTCCATGCATTCCCTCTCTCTGATTTCCTTTGCAAAGACTCCCATGAGCTGGAAACCCTGCCAACTCCCTGCAGAGTTTCCATGGCTGCTGCACCCTGGATCTTTTTCTGACCATGTCCAGTTTTCCACTGCCTTCAGAGTGTTCTTGCCTTGATGCTAGATAAGTTCTATGTGTATTATGCAAGTGGAGACAGATGTGTGCATTTTGATTCTTCTGTAAGATTTGGATAAATACTAGCTGACTAGTTTATCTAAAAAACTTCATTTGTTTGGGGCTGTTTTTTTCTAATAAGTATTTGTATTACTGCTATTTCACTGTACTTTTATTCGCTGCTTCACAGTATAAAATACTGTGCAAAGAACAAATGTAACTCCACATCCCAAAAGTGGGAAGATTGTATCAGTTAGTAAATTAGCAACAGCAGCTTTCTATTCTTACCTCTTGAAAGCTGTCTCTTAATGTTAAGTTAGTTAAGAGGAAATTGGATATATGATTCTTGTTACTGTCGACATAATAAAGCTATTATCCAGCTCAGAAAAATGACATGTGGAATTAAGAATTGTATGTAGGTGCAAATGCTGTGCTTGTGTTCTTGCTGGTGCAGAGATTGCTGATTAGTTTATCTCTTGTCCTCTAACAGTTGCTTGATACTGATTTTCGCTTTGCAGCTCAGTCTTTTTCCCTTTTTTTCACGATTGTAGACAGTTGCAAGAGCAACAGAGGCAGAAGGAGCTGGAACGGGAGAGGCTGGATCGTGAACGAATGGAACGGGAGAGGCTGGAGAGAGAGAGGCTAGAAAGGGAAAGACTTGAAAGAGAGCGCCTAGAACAGGAGCAACTGGAGAGAGAACGGCAAGAAAGGGAACGGCAAGAGCGCCTAGAAAGGGAGAGACAAGAGAAAGAGAGGCAGGATCGAGAGAGACTTGAACGACTTGAACGGGAAAGGCAAGAAAGAGAACGGCAAGAACAGTTGGAAAGGGAACAGTTGGAATGGGAAAGAGAGAGAAGAATTTCAAATGCTGGTAAGAATTTCAAACCCAAGTGTATTCAAGTACCAGACTACTTTTTGTGTTTGGGTGATGGAGCTGGGAGAGAAGCCACAGAGGGCAGTGAGTACAGCTGTGTAACAACAGTCAGTATTTCAGGCTTCTATTTGCTGAAATTGCTTCCTTTCTCTATGGCAAGAAGTCCAAGAGCTTTGACTTTCCTGTCATAATTTTCCATTAACTCTGTAATAAAATTATTTGTGCTTCTTGCTCCCTCCATTGCCATAGTCCAGTCGCTTGAAGAGCTTGAATCATATTGGGTGCCTCCAACATAGGTTAAAATATGATGAGTTGCTAAATACCATATCATTGTTTGCTCTATTCAACAAGATGTATTCTCATTACATAAACTGGGCGGAAAAAAACCTCCTTAAACATATCAGGTTGAGTGTATTAATGTAGAAGGTATGTAACTATATAAGGCAAAGTAGTAGTGCAAGAAATGCATTTCAGTATGAAGTCTTGTTTAATTCAGCATTGTAGTAACACTTCAGTGAAATGTATTGTATGTGCTTGTAGATAAGATAATGCACTGCCTGCGGGAATGTATCAAGTGATAGCTGAAAGCTCTTGCATTTTGGTAATATAATGGAACATTAGTCAAGCAGTTGGTTGTTCTTTAGTAACAAACTCCATTTACGTAAGTCAGCTCATAGTAGAAATCAAGGAACACTATGTAAGAGCTGTCATTTTAAAGCAGAAGATTTTATTGGTATTTTTATTCCCAGTACTTTCAAGTTTGCGATGGAGCTTTTTCTGGGGAAGAGAAAGATGATACTTGCTGCCTATGGTATGAGTTTTGTTAGTGGAGTTGTAACAGATGTTAAGATCACTACACTTGCTTGCAGTTTGCAACCAAACAAGAAGATAAAAGCTGATAAAAGATTCATTAATCGACCCTATGCCTAATCCATCTCACAGATGGGATTTGAGAGAACTTATTCTAGAACATACTTGTAAATTCAAATGTTGGCACAAATATAGTTGGTAAAACTTACAAGCAGCTGTTGATAATATGTGAAACTTTCCTAACAGTATTTTCACTTGTGCCTAATCCTCTGGTACTAACTGTAGTCTACATTTATACATTTTGTTTGAATGCTGGTTTTGTTGCTTCATTAGCTCCCTTTTTCTCTTTCTCCTTTTTTTATCCTGCCTTTGCTGCTGCTTTCCATCTTCTGTCCAGCTCCATCTTTCGACAACTCCCCGTATAGCACTCCACTTCCTGAATACTCCAGTTGCCAGCCTCCTTCAGCACCTCCTCCATCATATGCAAAAGCAGTCTCAGCACCAATGTCAGAGGCCACACCGGAGTATGCTGTAGTGACTTCTGCACCACCGACTTCCACTCCCCCTACACCGCCTCTAAGGCACTCTGCATCACGTTTTGCTACATCTTTAGGCTCAGCTTTCCACCCTGTTCTCCCCCATTATGCTACGGTTCCTCGTCCACTGAACAAAAGTTCTCGGCCCCCTTCACCTGTCAATGCCATGGCGACTTTGCCTCCAAATACAAAGCCTGTTGCCTGGTCTGCACCCAGTTTTGCCCCACTTCCCCCATCTCCTCCAGTAATGATAAGCAGTCCACCAGGCAAAGCTACTGGTCCGAGACCTGTCCTCCCAGTGTCGGCTTCTAATCCAGTGACCCAAATGTCCACGTCTCCCACGGCTCCTAACGGGCTTCCTGAAAACCTGGCTTATCCAGTTCCTTCACCTTCTACCTCAGGTCCAACGCCGCCTCCGCCGCCTCCTCCCCCCCCACTGCCTTCCTTTCCGCCTCTGTCACTCTCTGGACCTCAAGCTTCTCCTTCTCCCAACTCCCCGAATGCCTCGACTCCCTCATCCAAGCCTAGTGTTCTCCCTTCTCCCTCTGCAGCTACCCCTGCCTCTGTTGAGAACTCTCTAAACTCTGTGCTGGGAGACTCCTCTGCTTCTGAGCCAGTCTTGCAGGCAGCCTCTCAGCCGATTGAACCTACGACCCAGCAGGGTAAGGCTTTCTGTTATTGCTACTAATGCACTAATCAGGAATGCACTCAAAACCAGTTGGTATCAAAGCCTGTAACTGCCCCGAAGAATTAATACAATGCTTCCAGAGTTGCAGTGATCTTAATACCACAATGAAATACCGTTTGGAAAACTCGGGTAAGGGACACTTTAAAGCTCCATGGATAAGAGCCAGCATTCTGTAGCCTGTCATACATAAGTAAAATTGTGGTTTCTTAAGCGCTCAGCAAGAACACAGCTTGTCAAATACTTGCTTGGTAAACCTTGCACTGTTGGTTTATTTGGAACATGGTGTTAACAGGCAAATAATAATCATAATTCGCTTCCTGATGGCAGCCAATGTGGAAGAACATCTGTGCAGATTTGGACATGTGAATGACCTTAAGCAAGGAATAATCTGAACCACTTTGATACTCCAGATCGTTTCAAAGTTAGGAAGTAGTATGTGACGCCTACAGCATTTCTTTCTGGATAGTGGTCATATTTTGATACATGGCTTTATGCATGCATATATGTATATAAAACCAGGTCTCCTGTAGTATTCTACCAGCATAGCTAAAAAGACTTTAGAAAAAAGTTTGGTTAAGCAGGTGACAGTCTTAATGGAAGCTCTACCAATATGACAGAAATGTGGTTTACGTGGATGCAAATGTTAACCCAAATACTGATTTTTATATTGATTTAATAGATTTAGGTCTTTGTACATAGGTTTGCAGTACCTCAGCTAAAGATGTGGGCAGAGGAGCTCCTGAGGGATGAGCAGACAGTGGCTTCATCACACATGAGCCATGCAGAGTAGATCCTGTTTATACCCTCTTGTCTTAAATAAAGGTGTGAGTTACTTTGGGAGGGAGTAGAAATAGGGTGAATGGCCTCATGTGTAGTATGCAATGAAAGTGTGCACTTGGATGCTCAGTGTCACCAAGAGAGTTTAAAGGGCTTTTAAATTTACACACTGGTCAGCAGAGTAGGAAACCAGGAAGACACGTGTGTGAAATTCCTGCCTGTAGACGTGGCTTAAGGTAGTTGCTCAGCATTTTTAGTCGCTCATGGCAGTTTGGGTGAGGCAGGGGGAGGATGTGTGGGGCTGTTTTCTTAGTCACAGTTTCTTAAACTGTTCCTATCATAACAACACAGGGATCGTCAGAATAGTGTTGCTTCAAAACACATTTTTGTATTGCATATCAATGCAAAATTAAAGCATCAAAGGAATCATAGATAAAAAATAGAAGAGCTTGTTCCCATCAGCTTAAAACATGTCAGTCTTCTAACTCACTAATTAGCATTTCTATTAAATTATTAAACTTGATTCCTGGAATGTTCTTTATATGAAAGATTTTTATACAGCTTAGAACATTTTGGAACTCAAACTGTTCCAGGGTTCAGATGTTTGGGTGGAGTGTTAAGTGCCTGTTAGTAGAATCAAAAGTCACTCTGTGTTAGCACCATTCAAACACACAGATTGTTCCTACTCACTACAATGCTGGTGCCTTAGTTGACTCTTCATAAAAAGCTTTGCCTGTTTCCCAGTATAAGATACTTCTTGGTTGCAGCACAGAACCTGACTGGAGGGGTTTTGTATGTAAATGTCTCTGAAGCTGTCTGTTCTCTCATAGCATACTGTGTAATATTTTCAGTGCATTTAATAAGAATACTTCTCTCCTGCTTAAACTTGCAGTGTTTCCTTGCCTGTGAAAAGGACCCTTACCAGTATAAATGTCTCATACACTGAGCAAAAGAACCAGTATTTCAATGGAAATAAGACCTTTATTTTCTAAATCCTTAATACAGTCTTTGTGTTTTCTCTTTGATACTAGGTGTTGTCCAAGGACCACCTGCACCACCTCCCCCACCACCCCTACCCCCTGGCCCAGCTCAGTCTTCAGTAGCAGCCCCACCTCCTCCTGGCCCACCACCACCACCTCCACTTCCACCTTCAGGGCCTCCGCCACCGCCGCCGCCACCTCCTCCGCTTCCTAGCCAAGCTCCTTCTGTTCCCCTTCCACCTCCTGCTCCCCCCCTTCCTGCCTCTGGATTTTCAGTGGGATTCGTGTCCGAAGAAAATCGCCCTTTAACTGGACTAGCAGCTGCACTTGCTGGAGCCAAACTTAGGAAAGTTTCACGGGTAAATACAACTCTTGTTTCTTTCTCTGATTCTTGTCTCTAAATCCTGTCTTCCTGAATTGCTTGTGATTTTTGTTCAAGATTAGTAACAGTATTGAGATTTTGGGGGCATGCTTGCTTCATTACTAAAAAAGCATTACAGGATGTACTACCAGCCCATCATGTTCTTCATACAGTTGTTTCTTTCTTGTATGTGAACTTTGCTTCTTTCATTAAGTCAGCTATCCTTTTATTTGCACATCTGCTGTTATTTTGTGTATTATGAAGGGTGAAGACTCCTCTAGTTCAAGCGGAGGAGGAGGAGGCTCTGCTTCATCTAAAACAGACAGTGGCCGTGGAAATGGACCACTTCCTTTGGGAGGCAGTGGGTTGATGGAAGAAATGAGTGCCCTGCTGGCCAGGAGGTAAGGAGCTGTTTCTGCTGTGCTCCAGCTGCTTAGTCATCTTAGAGGTAGGATTTTGGGTGCCTCTCTGCAGCTGGCTAAAGATCAAACAAACATTGGCTTGCTCATGTGGTTGCTTTGTGAAGCTGATAATGTTTTATGAATAGCCATTTTTACTGGAGTGTAATCGAATACTTCTGTGTAAGTCTTTGTGTAGCAGATGGGGAGGGGATAAAGAGTTGCACAGTCACTTTGGCAGGAGGGATTTGCCCTTGAAAGTGTTTTGAAAGCACTTTTCTAAACACTGATTTTCAGTTATCCTAGCTGTCGAGCTGTTTATGTCTTTAATTACACTAAACAGTGTTCTTCCATATTAAAGCCATGATGATCTTGGTAACTTTGTCTCTGCTTATAGGAGAAGAATTGCTGAAAAGGGATCAACAGAACCAGAGCAGAAAGAAGATAAAACTGTGAGTTGCAAAATTTTACCTACTTCACATTATTCAGTACTAGATTATGAGAGAGATTCTAATGGTGAACATGAGATTATTTGTTCTTTACCATACATATATACACATAACCACTATTGTGCGAAGTGCCTAGTGCTTGCACATTTTGTACACACAACTGAACAGAACCACTTAAATATATCTGATATGTTAAATATTTAAACAGTTGAGATTAATCTCTTAGTCAAAAACATTTTTTTCTCTCTTCCTCCCCTCTCCTTTCTCCTCCTCTCCTCCCTTTTAATCAGGAAGAATCAGAGTCTTCAACTTATCTGATAAGTTAAATATTTAAACAGTTGAGATTAATCTGTTAGTCAAAAACATTTTTTTCTCTCTCTTCCTCCCCTCTCCTTTCTCCTCCTCTCCTCCCTTTTAATCAGGAAGAATCAGAGTCTTCAACTTCTAAGGTTTCTTCAACAAGCACACCTGGTAAGTACCACAGGTTTGTCAACTCTGTGATTCTATAATGTTAAAACCTAATGACAAATCTCAGTCAGCTCTGCTGAATTTTGGATCCTCCCTCTTCTCCTATGATTACAGCCTGGTATTTCGCTGTAGAACAGGTCTTGGTTCAGAAGTATTTTAGAAGATGACAGAAAAAAAAGAACATTTAGTGAAACACTGCACTTGGTATAGGGTCCTCCTGAAACTGTGGGTCTGATGCACACAAAGCAGTTGGTACTGAACGTGAAAGCAAGTTGTCTCAGCCATTGCAGGACACAGGTTGGGACAAGAGCTTATGTCCTTCAAGACAGATTTACAAGACTATCAAGAGTCAGACAGGAAGAGTTGTCCCAGCTATTTCAGTAAAGATTCCCTTGCATGCAGGTGCACTTTCTAAATCAGTATAAGTGCATGGAATAGAAGTTCTTTAATCATGATTCCTGCGCTGAGGTACGCTTGTGGTAGTGTTTGGAAGTGTGTAGCCAACACTTCTGTTGCAGGTGGCAAGGAAAGCTTGTATCTCTCGAAATCTGTAGTTGGCCAAGCTGTGATGTCAACATGGGTATGTGTTCATACTGTAAACACATGTGTTACAAGGACTCAAGTGACACTCAAGGCCTTTTTTTCCTGTCCTTTAATAGTACCTACCATCCCCTGGTATTTGAAGCTGACTACTTGCTTAGAGTTCCAGAATTCCATGTTTCACAACTGAAGTAATCAGATACATAAGGTACAGGCAGACATCCTCCCAGTTGGATTAAGAATCAAACGGCATTTACGATATCTAGAACAAAAGCGAGACTTCAAGATGCCATCACAACATAAATGGTAGTATGACTGAAAATAAGATAAATACAACAGATGGTAGCTTAACATGAAAGAACTAGTGCAGTGTACTAACAAAACCCAAAAACCAAAACAAAACTCCACAAAGTCTGACTTAATGCCAGGTACTTGAAGTTTCCTCACACAAGTTGCACAACAAATAGAAAAGGACCGTTTTTAATCTTCTCACTGTGTTTTCCAGAACTAACAAGAAAGCCTTGGGAAAGAACAAATACAGTGAATGGAAGCAAGTCACCTGTTATCTCCAGGTACTCCCTTTTGTGCCAGCTATCTTTTCCTTATGCTTGTTGTTGCTGCTAAAGCTACTGGACTGAAATAGTAAAAATTGCCTTAATAGTATTAAAAGCAAAATGTATGGTTTAAAATTAGCACTGTGAAACTGCTTTTGTCAGTTTTAATTAGGAATGAAGAGTTGCTTTTGGAGAATGCTAGTAAACAAAATGTTTAACAGTAAAGTCCAAAGTAAAACCCCCCAAAAGTTTCCTTAACAGTTGCTGGTGTGTAACTTCAATTATTAAGGTAGGTGTTTGCCTACAGCAATGTTTAATTCTTTCTATTTATTTAAATTTTAAAGTCTGAAGTTTCCTGCAAGGAAAAACCAAATTGAGTGCTGTGATTTCTATGTTCAGTAGTAAATCTAGCAAATAAGTTTTCTCCTTTCTAATTTCACGCTAGACATAGAATGGTTATCTAGATATTTAAGGCATCTTATTAAGATTTCATCCTGTGACAGTTTTCAGTAACTGACTTGTACAAATCCAAAGAAGTCCATCCTAAAGGATAGTATAAATACTGTACATCCTTAGTGCATTAACCAATCTTTGGTAACTTGTCAGCTGGAACTTTGGTAGGCACTGGGTGTTTTGGTAGGCATTTCAGTAATGCAAGAGTGAAATAGCTGGTTTAGCTTTTTTTGGTTTTTTTGAGGTGTATTTAAGTGCCATTTACATTAAGAAGGTTTGTGGTCCATTTTAGAGTTCATATAAATTTTGTGTACAGAGGTTAAAGGATTCTGACCTGTGATAACCTGACAAAGTTACCTGAAGTTCTTGAGAGAAATAAATCACATTAAATTGAGAATGCTGTGTTTGAAGTTACTTGAATTCTCCCTAAAATTCAGGCCTGTTGCAAACAACTATGCACGATTTGGTGACTACAGAAGAAAAATCAATTATTCTCTAAGGGACATTAGTTGTGGTTAAAGTTGCCATCGAGGTCTTCAGTTCTGTAACACAACACTAAACACTCTAAACCTATACCAGTATCCTTGTTCATCTTTCACAATTAAGTCAAGGAGCTTAAAATATTTGCAGCCTTGATTCCAGTTGCTTACTTTGCAGGTGACATTGGTAGTGAAGTCCTCCCTGCTATACTGTCAGTGTAACAAAATACTGCTTCACCTTTAGGCCTGACTTCCCCCTATATTCTTTCCCCTCACCCCCACTAGGTCTTACCTGCTTTAACCAAGATCTCTTTTTCTCAAACAGATCGAGGTATCAATACATGGCATTGAGGGGAAACTTGTCACAGAAATAATTTGTGTAAGGAATTCCAAAGAACATTTTAGATTTCATAGTGTTTAAGACAGTTGCTGACCTGGCCCTTTGGCTGTAGATACCCTATGGGTAAACAATTGAAGAAAGGAAAGTGAAGGGATTCGTAAGTAGGGCAACTCTCCATATCAGACTCCTTCGGGGAGTCTGGGATGTCCTTAAGTCTTTATTCTACCTGTCCCTACATCTGGAGCTTCTTATAACTCTCTTATGCATCCCATTTCATTGATCTCGTTTCAGCTGCTGAAATTCAGAAGTTACTGAGGTCTGTTTAAAAATGTTTTCTGACCTAGAAGAGAACAGAAGTTACAGAGGATTCCATGTTTATTGAATATCAGTATTATTATCTAGTGCTGTCATAACACACAGGAAGGTGCCATAGCACGTATTCTAAGCCTGCTGGTACAGTTTTCTAGTTAGTGTTGACAGTTTGCCCTGCCAGGATGAGAAATGTTTCATGGACCGAGAAAGAAAAAGTATTTGTGGAGGTTTCTCTTGAATATCCTTGCATTTTAATTAATTCTCCACAGTTACCAAGTTTATCTCAGCAAGCAGCTTGTTGAAGTGAGTTTCTTTCGGTGAGTTAATCAAAGGGTACAGCTATTTGAAACACTAATACCTTCTTTCCCAAAAGGGGATATCTTTCACTTGGTGAGGCTCAAGGACCTGCTTCTGACCTCTACAGAGTATGAGAGTCATTTACAGGGATTAAACAAAGCATACCTAAGAAACTAAGCAAAATTTTCTCTTCAGAGCTTCCAAACAGGTAGACAATGAAGGAGTTGTTATTCAGAATGAATGTTCTGAGTATTTTGAAATAGTGTTATGTTTAAAATCGGGCCTTTTTCTCGTAGCAGACTTTGAAAAGACTTAAGCTATGTGCTTTTAGTATTTCCTGAAACATTCAAATAGAACTCTTGGAACACAACTAGTGAAACTCCGTGGTATTTAAGGTGCTAGAACTGAACAAAATTAAGACCTATTATAGCCTGTTAAGGTAGTGTTTCTCCCCTTCGTAGACGGGAATCTCCATGGAAAAATCTGCTTGCTTCTGAAAACAGGTTCTATGATTCATTAAACAGGTATCATCCTGTTGGGATTTGAGACTTTGTAATAACCATTTTGACCAGTTCAGGGTTGGACTTTTTCTACATGGATTGGTAATCACCACATGCACCACCAGGTTCCTCATCACATTTTGTTTGTCCAGATGAGACCATTTTTGGACTGGTTAAAAGCAGATGATATCAAAGGCGAATTGAGATGGCTTAAGATCCAACTATAAATTTATAGTAATTACTGATTTTCTGGCAGTTGTCACATGCAAAAATGCATATTCCTGTTGGATATGTCAGGATTCAGTGAACCATTCACAGGAATAGCAAATAAATTTCCAGGTGAGTTTTCACATCTGCTTTTCACAAATTAAGTAAAGTTAAACATGGGAAAGGAAAACCAAAATAATTGAAAAAGGAAATTAATGTTTCTGCTGGGAATATATTCACAAGTTAGAATTAATATCATGTATATTTTAAGCTGCAGATCTCAGTTTTACTCTCTGTAGTGGTTGTCATAAAAGCTTTCAGGTTTTAAGAGCTTTTCCAGAGGTACATGTATTGGAGCCCCTCAGAATTACTGAGCCAAATTCCAGCTTTGTTTTCCACAAAGGTGCTCATTGTGGTGACTACTTAATCTTTTGTATGAAAAGTTCCCCTTTCGCTGCTTATCTTGGGTGGAGTATTCTGCATGTTGGCATGAATAAAACTCTTTTATCTTGCATGCTTGATTTAAGGTGTTTTCTGGACTGTGGAGGTTGCCTCACTGTCCTGTTAGGCAATGCTATGAAAAACCACACGGGAGAGCTCTTTAGCCATCTTTGCATCGAGTGGTTGGGATGTTTTACTCACTAAATTTCAATAGTTAATTTTTTTCCTTAATGGCAACTGCATTCGCCTTTAGTCTTCCTTCTGAGCAAGTTGAAGAAGGAAAAATTGATAATTCTGGGGGTAGGACAGCTAGATTTGCCTGAGATCAGAAATAACCTAGTTTACAAATGATGGTCTTTCACATTTGAATGAAGAATGGCAGACATTTTGGAAAGCAAAAATGGAATGCATTCTTAAGACTGAGTCACAGAGTTTATGAAGAGACTTTCCTGTTGAGATTTTTAACAGATAGAATGATTGGTAGAGCTGTCTTTTTATTCGGAAGACCTGAAGCAAAAGAAACATGAAGCACTCTGTCTATGAAGACTCCTTCTTTAAAGTCATATCATTAAAATATTAAAGTCATAAGAAATTTTATTAAAATATTCAAGTGTATTCTTGTTTGGGTTTTTCCATTAAGGCAGACAGTAGGTACCTATTATCAGTTGCCAGAGATTGCATTTGAGAGGTCACTGATTCTTTTTTCAGTCATGTGGGGTAAATGCTGCAATATGAGAACAAAGCAATAGTCAGTGGAAATGATCAGAAACTATATATGGAGAACTGGAAAAACTCATGCTGCTGTGCTTGGAGTAAGTCGGTGTTCAGTTTGAGGGGTAGACTGCAAGTAACACTTTTAATATCAGACACATGATGAAGCAGCAATTGCCAAAGGTCTCACCTTGATGAATGCTTTTGAGCAAGGAATTCTTTCATAATGAACTAAGCACCGATGATATCTAAAGAGTTTGTAACAGATCCTAATCTGTGGTTTGTCTTCATAGCATTAGTGCGCACTCTAGATTTTCTGGTGGTTATGAGGTGAATTCTACTTTGTGGTTTCTTCCACTATCCAAGTTACCGAATCTTTCATCTTCTGTCTTCCTCAGTAGATCGTGTATTTCATTTTGGTGTGTTTCAAGCAATTATGATGTTAGTGATTTCTCTCTTGGAGCTTACATCTAAACAGCTGTAGCAATTGAGTATTTTGATCCCAAGTGAAGAACCAAACTGGTAGAACAATACAGAATGTTCCTGCACCTCTCTGCTTCGATGCAAAGTCCAGCAGCAAAGGGATAGTTAAGACAGTCCCTTTTGCTGACTCTGTTTTGCGTGGTTAACTGCTGGCAGGTTTTCCTAAGTGGGTGTCACTAGGCTTAACATAACTAACTCAAGTGCACAGAAATAATCATGAAGCATTACAAAGATTGTCAAGAGGTTTCTACCACCTACACTGGAGTTATTGCCTTCTGAAAAGATGAATGGGCTTGCATGTATACCAATTTAAAATGTCCTACCACCAGAATTACTTGGTAGCTATGAAGGTTTTAATGAATCTTGAATGCAACAGACTCTTCAACAACACAGGCATATGTTGTTATAGGGAACGGGGAGGAAAAATAGGCAACCCTTATGTCCCATGTTGTTTCTTAGTATTTTTCACACTGGGAACCTACAAGAGGTAAAAGTATCTGCTGGAAAGCACAAACCTGAGAAAGTTTCTTTAGTAGCAAAATGACATTTTGGTGTGCATGCCCTTCTCTGTTGGGAGTTATATTTTGAGTCTTAGAAGTCATCCAGACAATCCAGTATGAGGCTCATTCACCTGGTACTGAGCAAAGACAGTGTAATCAGACAATTTCTTCATGGATGAACTGCTGTGTTGTAAGAGAAGATGCATGAAAACTGAAGGTAGTGATTTTGTAAAAACAAACCTCTATATATGTAGGTTCACTATTCTTTTTTTTTTTGAGAGCACAGCTTTTCTTTGTTAGCTAAATTAAAATACATAAATGGAAAAACTATAGCAATGGATTTACTGCTTGTGTCCCTCACACACTCTGCTTTGTTCTGAAAGAAGATAGTTTCATTCTGTATATTTGAGTGAAGAAAAAGCAGAGAACTGTGCCTTTCCTGCTGGTTTGTCTTTTTTTGTTCTTGGCCACCTTCCTTGGTAATAAATAAGGCTTTACTTTCAGGTAACAAATCCAGAAAAATGTGGTGTTTCATGAATTCCTCCTATGTAAGAATTTTGAAATGAGACACTGAGCTTAGGCCACGCTTTTTTGTTCAGTGATACCACATACAAGGACAATAAAATAGGACCTAGTTTAGCCTACTAATACAGTTCCCTTCCTTAACGTTATACTGTGATAGTTCTAAACACCGGAGAATGTTTAGCATTCCTGACGTGAACTGTTACCAGTTTTATCAACAGCTTCTTTTGGCTTAACATTTTATAGGGCAATGGAGAGAGAATGTTAACCAAGATGTAAAAAGCAATTAAGGACAGCAGAATATTCCTCCCTTTGTCCCACTCCATCCGTCCATCCATCCATCCATCCCTACATCCTTGCTTTGGAGAACCATTTCTACTGTTAGCATCTAGGTTCTGTCTCTGCTCATAGCTGTAGGTATGTAAGGCCCTGTGGAAGCGTAGTAAGTACATGAGTCTGAGTTACACCGTGTATAAACAGAGGGGATCAGAAAAGAGAAGTGAGAAGGTAGAAAACCTGCTTCTTCTGGAATGTGTGTTAAAAATACAAGTTGATCTTGGTGAGCACGTTTTTGATGTCTTAAGAGAGTATGAGGTAAGCAAATATTGAATGTGACATAGTCCAAAACACTACAACTTCCTCTCAAGTATTATCTTATAAATCTTGTTGTTGTTACAGTATTTGCTTTCCATAGCTTTAGAAAGCAATGGATGGAATAGTTGAGGTTGGAAGAGAGTTAGATAAGGTTGCTCACCCATGTTCTGTCAAGTGTTGAAAATGTGCCAGGATGATTCCACAGCATTCATACAGTTACAGCATCAACATGTAGTCATCAGTGGGAGTGTTTCTTTGACAGGGCCTCTTTGGAAATGAGTAAGGAGCTGAAAAGGGAGAAGAGAAGGTATTTGACATTTGAAGGCGTTCAGCTTTTCATGCCCATTATGAAAAAATCAGAAACCACTGACAGTGAAATCTGTCTGCCACTTGAAAAGTTCTTGTTTTGAACTAATAACTTATGGTAATAGTTCCAGTGTGTGGAAAATATTCTTGGTTGTTGCTTTCTATTCTGCGTGGTATTTTGGGTCTGCTTGATTTTCCCACCCTCCCACTCCCAACATTTATTTTGATTCTGATTCTTTACTATGGTTTTGATAAACAAACGTTAGCAAGTTTGATGAGGAAGTCCTATGTATCCTGTAATAAAGAGTGACAAGTAATTCAAGGATGTGTTTTTGTACTGCAGACCAAAATCTACACCAACGGGGCAACCCAGTGCCAATGGAGTACAGACAGAAGGTCTAGATTATGACAGATTGAAGCAGGTATGTATATAATGCTTCGAATAGAAAGCTTGGGTATAAGAACTTGTAGCTGTCTAATACCAGTTTTTAACTGTTCGACTAACTAGTTCCAAACTTAGATAATGATGGGGTAATTATTAGTCATTATTTGTCCCCAGGCATGTTTCTGTATTGTTAGGAGCTGTAACTGTAGGATGGTGGCTCACACAGCCCCCAGCACTTTTGCACAGATGCTGATTCCTGCTTTTGCGTTAGACAGCACACACAAGTGTGCTGATACTGTGGTGCTGATACTATAGATAGAACTGGGAAACTGGTTTGCCTGGAAAAATCTTTCTTTCTCTCTACCCCAACAAACAAGCAAACCAACAAACAAGTCCTCAGGAGCAGTTCTAGCTTTTATTTTAAAGAGACATGGCAAGTAGTACTTTTTTCTACTTTTATTTAGCACTTACATCAGTGCAAAATTCTAACCTCAGTATGTCCCTTCTCTCATAAGTTCTAGAGGAATCAGTTTGTAGGACTTCTCCAGAAGGTTTTTTCTTCACTGTACCTGCAGTAAGAGTGGTTTAGGGATGCTTTAGATTGTGGTGATTAACTTGGAAGCTAAAGGGTGGGTTATGTATTTCAGAAGGCTTAAAGGTTGGAAGAATTTCAGATTTCTCTCTACTGAAAGTTACAGTTGGCAAAACTAAGCTTTTTCTGTTACAAAACTAATCTACTATTCATGCTCTGACACCACAGGACATTTTAGATGAAATGAGGAAGGAGTTAACAAAATTAAAGGAAGAACTCATTGATGGTACGTATCAATCTGTTTGCTGCTGCTGTTCAGTCTTAGAGTAATTAGCTACAGGTGTACAACAATGTCGGTGTAATGTGTTTCTAGCCCGAGAATGATGTATTGGTAAAAGTAGCTCTGTTGTTCTTCTGGTGGCAAGCCATGTTTTCTCTCCTGCCACATTTAGTAGAATGTTGACACCGAATAATTTCTTTTAAAAGCAGTTGGAGGGCTGCTGTAGTTGAGTGATTTGCAGTTATCCTTAGTATCATGTGGTAGGTGGGTTAGTTTTAAATAATCCAGAGCTGCTGAGGTGCGTGTTTCAAAACTGGTAATACTCAGACAAGGATTGCTCCATCCCTGGCAGTGTTCAAGTCCAGGTTGGATGGAGTCTTGGTTTAGGTGTCCCTGCCCGTGGCGGGGGTTGGAATTAGGTGATCTTAAGATCCTTCCCAGTCCTAACGATTTTATGATTCTATGATTGTGCTTCCAGCTTTCAGTTTTCTGTTTGGTCTGTAACATAAGAGTCAAAGAAAAGAATTCTCCCCATTTTCATTTTTATTTTAACAGAAGATACTTTCCTAAGTAGTCTTCTGTAATTGAGGGTTATCATTTGGGAAAGCATAACCTTAAAAGGTCCACCAGTGAAGAATGAAATAAAACTGTGTAACTTAACTACCTTGGTGTACACTTTTTTTTTCCATTGTGGAAAGTACTAGAAGTGTGGAAAAAGGAAAAAAAAGGATATTAAACTGATACCACTGCTGGTAAAATATCAGAAGCCACATGAAGCTATCTTACATATACGTTATTCACATTCTAAGACTGTTGGAGGTGGGCGAGCTTTCTTTAAGGGGTCAGTTGTGTATCCTGGCTTTCTGCCTTGACTTTGAATATTTGATGTGTTAACTTTCTCTCTCTCTCTCTCTCTCTCTCTCTTTAGCTATCAGGCAGGAACTCAGCAAGTCGAATACTGCATAGAAAGACTAGTACTAAGCCGATGTGACTCTTTAACTTGGTATAAAACTGACTATGTTTTGTGAGCTGTTAGAAGAAAACGGAGACAGACAGACACTTGGAAGGAGGGAGAAAACAACCTATTCTGAAAAGCTTCAGACACATCACTCGGGTGATATGCTATTCCCCTCCTAGTTTGCAGCTTTTTTCTGACCTTTACAGCAGGGTGGAAAAGACTCTTAAAGTTACTGTAATGATTATGCAGAAATTCCTACACCTATCAGACAAGATCACAGTGCTTTGAAGTCTACTCATGTCAAGATAAAATTGCACATGTTTCAGAATTTGTTGTTAAGACAAAAAACAGGGAAAAGCGTGGGAAGGCTTTTCAGAGAGGTTTTCTTTATTAATGAAGGAGTTAGCAAGTTATACTGTTGTACTTCAAATGTATCTCAGGTTTGTCTTCCTATCATATCTGATACTTCCATGCATAATTTACAAGATCAGATGTGTAGAAGTTCAGTTCATAAAACATGGAACAAATAGAAACGCGTGCTTTTAAAGGGCAATATTTGTAAGTGAATGACCTAGACAGTTATGACATACCAAGATTTGGGAATTTTATGATAGGAAGCCTCTCTAGTTAGCCTTCATGCAATTTTATAGGAAAATGGAAAAAAGCAAATACAGTCCAGAGTTTAAAGATGTAGATGCCTTCCTACATTGTTACGATGCTTTACCAAATCTAAGACTTCAACATAATGCGAATCAGCAGTCAAATGTAAATCATTAGTATGTTGTAGATTTACGGTAGATTTTGGGGCTTTTTTTAGATTTATGCATGTGGACATTTTTGTAATGTAACACAACACAGCCAGCTTTTTAATTAAAAGAAAAATTGCATGTCACAGAGTAGCCTTTTCATTTGTAAGGCTTAATTTATGCCCAGAAAGATGTGGGATGAGGGAGGGGGAAGGTGACACATTTTTATTACTTTCTACACTTTTTCTTCATCTTACATGCATGTGTAATAATGAGGGAAAACACTACTTTTATCAGTAACCATGTTAATGGAACCAGGTACTTAATCCTTTTGTATCTTTTTTCAGTTTTCTATTTGAAATTCAGTAATACTTCCATAATGGTTCTGAAACTCCCATGTGAACCGAACTCATTTCTCGGTGAGAGAACAAATGTGTAAGCATCTGACTTTACTGAGGATGCCCCTGTGTAAGTGCATTGTCCTTTACCTTTTTACCATGACCCTCTGCTTCACTCTTTTCTGAGAATCCTTTTTTGATTGTTTAATGAAACAGGACAGCAGGTAGTTACCTCAGAACGACAGAGCATCAAGTCACAGCAGATGTCCCCTTCTCCTCCTCTTTATCTACCACCCTTCTTCCAAAAAAATCAAAGCCAACAAAAGACCCCACAGCTCCCCACAACCCAAACCCTGAAAAAACAGCAATAGTATGCCATTGGTTTCAGTCAGCAATTTGAGAATCATTTTTAGGGGAGATGATACCTTACTGTTTCCCAGGGGGTTCAGATTTAATGCTTGTAAACTTTAATTTTTGTTCTTTTTTTTTAATGTGGTACAGTTCAGTGGAATAGAAATTCGGTGAATTGGCTCTGTAGTGCTTCAGACAACATGGATCAAAATCTTCCATTTTTCTTTGCACTGCCAGTTCTTCTGAGCCGTAACAGTGCCATGTTTGCTTTGGGATCTGTGCTGCTCCAAAAGAGAAGTTTACTTACAACTTTTGGAGATTAATGTTTCAGCTTAAAAGTTATATGCAGCTCCATTCGTAAGACAAATGCTTTCAGTGACATTACTGTCTTAAGTGCTGAACACCAAAGCAAAACAGCACTTACAGCTTTGGAAAGGCTTCAGTGAGAAATTTTTCTCCAATTCAAACACTTCCTGTTTCTGTAGGTTCAAGTTCTAAGAGAAGACTACAGTGGAAATAGACAAAAACATTTTTCTGCATGCATTTATTGAAGGCATTAAAAACAACTCTGTAGTAAGTTTGTCAAGTACTGTTTTTCTCAAAACAAGAGGAGGCATTTTCATCTTTGTTGATGTAAGTTTTTGTTTTACATGGACTTTTTGAGCATTGAGGACGTTTGCCCTTGTCAGAAATCATGTTTGATTTGTTTCTAGGAGAGTTCAGGAGTAGCATAGTGGAATAGTGTGAATGGGTATAAAGTGGTCCAAAACTAAAGGCTGAACTACTAGATTGTGCAAGGAACTGGCTTATGCACTAAACGTTTTGTGCCTTGGTCTACAATTAACATGATTTCTGTTTAAAAGAAAAAGGAACAGATGTTGTCTTTCGTGCTGCTTCTACATACACACTTTCTGTAATCCCAAACCACCGAATTGGTTCTTTCCAGGAAATTGGATTGAATTAAAGATTACTGTAGACATTTCCTGTCCTACTGACAGTTGCACCGTTTCCAGAGATTTCAGTATTGAAAATGAACTACAGAAGCTGAGGTTATTTTGCTTACTGCTAACTAAGTTCTTTAAAAACCATATTGTGGTGGTTCTGTGCTTTTGTACACTGGATGTCTTAAGCTGAGGGCAGTTTAAGGGATCCTTTCTAATGCCAGGAAGGCGTTGCTTTCCTCAACACTGTGATCTGACCTGTGATAAACCTGCACTATAGACAAGTGGCTACTAAGTCAACTGCAAACCAACTGAATGTAAAAATCTTAGTGCTGGTGCTGAAATCTCTTCCGATAGTCATAATGATTTCCAGTTCATTGTTTTCGAAAGTTATCGAGCACCAAGTGTCAATCAAAGACTGAAGATGATCACTAATGAATGTTGACTTTTCATGCATTTAGGTTTACCTTCTTTTTAGTTTCTCAGTTCATTCTCTGCTATTTTTATCATATTGTGTCATTTTAAATTTCTTACATGCTAACGTTTTGTTTGAGCGAATGAAATAAAATTGCAATATATACACGTTGCCACCATTTATTTCTGAGCTTCGTAGAAGACTCTCTAAGGTTTACTGCTTGAATTCCTGAAATCTTTACTGAATCTTCTGATGCAGAAACAGAAAGCAGGAGCGAGATCAAGGAGTAAGGAACAGTCACAGTCATTAAAGTGAAGACTTACCTTACAAAGGATGTAATTGCAGGGACTGTGTAACATTCCTGGATGGTAACTGCTATATACACATTAAAATCCATTTTAAATGTATGACTTGATTTACATTCTCACACCACATACATTTTGGTCTCTATCCACACAGAACTTGGGAGGGAAGGAGAGGGAAAGACTGGGGGGGAAAATAGTTGCAGTTAGTCTGACTCTTGCTGCTTTTATGTTCATGATTTATTTTCAATACTGGTAACAAAGAAAACCTACCATGAAAGATTAATACAGCTCCTTGTACACTAAGGACTTGCTCAATTTGTCTTACAGAAGAATACTGACAGTGGATGTTTAAATGTCCTTGACTTAGCATCCTGAAAGCTGCACTTATCTGCTGTATCAGTGTCCAGAGATGTATCTGCTTTTTAAAGTGGAGTATTACAAAAGTAGGAAGATGATCTGCAGTTGATCAAACTGGTGATTATCACCACTTTACATGAAGCTCACTTCCAGTGCTAAGTATTACTCGCCAGCGTGTCTCTTACAACTGATCATACAAAGCTTGCAAGATCAAGAGAAGATTCCCTCTGTTTTTGGTAGGTGAACAAGATAGGGCTGATGGGCAAGGAAAGATTGGGCAAGGAAAATGTTTCCCAAACTGGCTTTTTACCGAAGGCTAATAGTTCTTTGGGGAGTTAAATTCTCCTGGCTGTGTAGGCTGTCACTGGCGACTGTTGATAGCAGTGAAAAGGGGAAGGGATTGGTGATTTTAGTGGAACTGGGGCCAGTGCAAAGTACTTGAAGAACAGGCTTCACTGAAATTGCTTGTCTTGGGGGGGGGTCATTTTGGGGTATGAAAGCACTGAGAATTATTTAATGCTCAGTTACATGCTATCTAGGAGAGTCTTAATGGAGAGAGAAGTGTTAAGTGTTAAATCAACTGTCAGAATACATACATACACGTATTCTGACATACGTAATTTATGTAAAGATACTCAAAAGCGTATCTTTAAGTCAGCCCATATGAAGGTCTGACAGGTGTTAAGTACTTTTAATTCCTTGGAGATGGTCACCTTAGACTGTTGAAATTGATGTATCAGGAAATCCACAAGTTGATTAGGCTTTATATTCTTATAGCAGATGTGAAAGAGAACTTGGCATAATTGTCCAAGGCATGGAAGAAGAGGTGTAGTTCTAGATGCTGGGAAAGCTCAGCAAAACCTTAAAGTCACAGCACTACTATCTGCATGTTACCTGGTAATCAGCACCTCTGTTCATTGCACAGGGGGTTCTTCAGGTAGCTGTTTGCCACAGTGATGCTGAATTACCTCCATTTTATAAATGGATCCCAGTTGAACGGTCAAGTCGTTTGTACAAATGCATTTTATAATGTTTGTTTTGGTGTCCTGAATCTTACTCAGTGGTATTTTTTCAGTATTTTCTGGTGTCCCACCTTGATAAACTGTTAAATGATAAGGTATGGAGCAGCTACTGCAGATGAGCTGTACTGCTGCTCTGCCTGCTGCAGTTTTCAGCTGCAAGCTGATCATTTTCTCTGTTGAGATGCTTCTTTTTGCCATTGTTGTTATTCAGTTGTCTGGGCCACCTTCTCCTCCCTTCCCAACCTATTTTAGAACTGCTACTGGTGTGACATTTTCACTTCTCTTCGTGGCTGCAGATCTCTTCTGCAGCTGCTCAAGCACAACAGAATTGGAAGTGATCTCCTATCATCATCATATGTTTTCCACCTTAAATTGAAGTGTAATTTTTTACCATTAGCCAGCTGAAGTCCCTACCTCCTCTCTGAACAGCTTTCAACTCGGCAATAAAGTTACGTATGCTAACTACACTATTAAACGTGCTGAACTGCATCCTGGTTTTCTTTGCAGAGCCTCCAGGAGTTGGTCCACAAGCTGCTGACACAGGCAGAGAAAAACACAAAACACTAGCAAGGAAGTGAGCGTAGGAAGAGAAAGTGTGAGGGAGTTCTCAAGTGTTCAGTGTAGGCCGATGCCCGCAGGGAAGAAAGCATCCAGGAATAATGAAATACTACTTCTGTGTTGAAGGTAAATTATCTGCTATTTGACACACTCTCCCCAGTAGTGTACTGTGAAACCAGTTTGACCCTCAGTAGCTTGGCAAGTCCTGTGGTGCTCCAGAACCAGCCCCAGCAGCTGGCACATGATCCTGAGGAAAGGGGGAGTGCAGCCATGCTCATAAATGCCTCCTGGATGCGGATCTAGGGGAATCTGTTACTGCCACAAAGCAGTTACTACACAATATAGTAAATACAGCCCAGCATTTTTTATGCATCTATGAAAAATATGTAAGCAATAAAATATAACTTGAATTACAGGAAATGTTTTTACTGAAGATTGGGAATGCTGCTTCTAATACTGTCGGGTGCAACAGCATGGCTCAAAAGTATTTCCAATTGCTTACTTCCAATCTGTATGCTCTAGAATGGCTTTTTATGTACAGTGATGCTTGTTATCTGTGTCCTAGCAACTTAGTAACTGCACATCCTGTAATATGACTACATTATAGCCACTAGAGTAAAGAATAAAAGGCATTTGGCCGTATTTCTAAACTAAAATTAATTTGTTAAATGACTGAGATACAGACACTGGATAAATCAGTAGCAATTACTGACAAGTAAGGTCTGCTTTTTGAGTAAGGAGCTGGCTAGCATCATCAGCTGGTGCAGTGTGGAGCCAGCATTACAGGGTGCTGCAGCCAGTACACGTGTTGAGGGATATTTGAACTCTGCTACTGAGTTCAATTAGAACTAAATTGGCTATAGGTAAGGAAAACAGCTTTTTATGGCACAGTTTCTCACTTACAATTCAGAAATGGCTTGATGTCTGCTTTAAAAAGATTATAAATGAAAATGCTCCAATTAGAGTGACCTCAAGAGTGCTTTTTTTAGATGTCATTGCCAAAGCTAATGCTCCCAGGGGAAAACTTTAGTGCTGTAAAGATACAGCACAGCTGGGTTAAGATTCTGTGTTGCAAACAGTGACTTAAAAATAGTCCTTTACGAACTGCATATAGATTTCCCCTGTTAATTTCAGTTTTTCCTCTCGAATATATGTTGCTTTGGAAAGGGAACGGAGGGAGGAAGCTTGTCTTACTGTCCTACAAGGTTTTGGGGAATAATGGATTAGCTGTTCTTTTCATCCTTATGTCCATGCTTTCCTGGTTCGAAGAGGCACTGTTTTGATCTAGCAAAATATCCATTTTCTTTTTGAAATACTGATGATTTGGCATGTATGTAAGAGGTGTAGGGTTTCTT